AGAATATATATTTTTTATATAATTTAATTTAAGTTAAATAATAAAACAATTTATTTTTGGTTTAATATTATAAAGATAATAATTAATTATTCTGTTAGAATTTAATAATTATACTAATTATATTTTAGGTTTTTTATATTTAAAATGAGATGTTTATTCTTATTTGATTGTGTTTATCTGTAGTTAGTTACACGAATTCGGATATGGGAAAGGTTTAAGAGTTTTTTAGAGTTTTAAGAGTTTTTAAGAATTTTAGTAAAATGCTTTATAATATAGTATAGATATTATAATATTATTTTTATTATTAAAATATTTATACATATAATAAAATACTAATATCTCTTATAAACATTTAACATAAAAGTATATAAATAAATAAAAAATTAGTTCTCTAAAATTTTGGAGAGTATATTACAACAAAAATGCTATAAAAAATCTTCATTTTTTTTTTAAATTTTTTATTGGAAATCGAATATTAATATTCATTGAAATATATTTTTATATATGTTGACTAGGGGCCCACACTTACTTTCTAACAAACTTCTGTCGTCATGCACTATTCAAGTCGTACAATAAATATTCTCCCAACATCCTCAACCAAAAACAATACAAAAATGCAATCACACATCATTTGTACCAAAATAGAATATATATATATATATATATATATATATATATATATACACATGGTAGCGTTCAAATAAAAACCACTCAATTTATAAAAACCGTAAAAACCTTATTCAACCAATCATGATTTTTCATTTTGTTCATTTTTTTGTAATTATGAGAGGTTGATTAACCATTTTTATTATGAATGGTGTTAATCATGGATATTATCATCTTCATTATTTTAATTTTAGAGAAATACATGAAACTGTTTCATTAAAATTTCATTAAGTAGTATATGAAACAATTTCATAACCATATATGAAACAACTTCATCAAAAAAAGTATTATATGAAACAATTTCATAAGATTAAACAATTTCATGAAAAAATTTCATAAGATTACGACGGATGAGAGTAGTTTTTACGGTTTTACAAAGTGGAGTGGTTTTCATTTGATCGCTCATATATATATATATTGAGATCATGGTTCTAAATAACTTGTTATGATCAAGTTATGGTGCGTTATGACATCAAGGCTTGAGTTCACCGTCACGTTTTCTTTTTCGAAGTATATAATATTTACATACGACAAATAGAACAAATAAACTACACATCCTCCTCACATTTGCTTCACTTTTAAGTGTTTGACTTGCATTGTAACATGTTATGACACGATAAAATATGTTGTGGCGCATTACAACACGTTATTATGTAAGGTGTTGAGTTATTTTAATATATAACTTCAAGGATAAATGATAATTATGTACAAGACCTATAACTTAAATAAACATATAAAATAAACTTACTCACATTTTCATACACAAAAAATCGAACACAAATTCTTTTAAAAATTAAAAAAAAATAATGAGTAAAGATTCAAGAGATTTAATCATGTTTACATTATTTTTATTACTTTTTGTAAACTATATATATATATATATATATTTGCTATCAATGATTCTTTTTTATTTTATTACTTTATATCAATTTAATTTGTTCTATGGTATTATTCAAAACATTAACATATACAAATATAAGTTGGTGTGTATATATATATATATACACACACACACACACACACATATATATATATATATATAATGACAGATCCAAAAACTTTTATTATTTGGTGTACCTTTTAAAGACGTCAAAAAAATTTGAAACCGAATAACTCTTTTGAACCAATACGATTTTGGATTATTCGGTTTTCGGCTTAAAGGTCCACTTTAATTGAATAAAAATAACTTATTCATTAGTATTATAACAATAAGTAAGAGAAATAAAATGAATTTTAACGGATTGACACTTAGAAGCTAAAAGAATTAGAATTTAATGCATCAAGTAATGACTCATTCAAGTAAGAGTTCTAAATGAGATTACAAGAATTAGAATTGAGTCATACTTTTATTTGTTCCGAGCCTATTAATAGTTTTAGGTTAACAAAATTAAAAATATAAATAAACTACTCCTGGGGTTTTTTGAGGGCCTGTCACCTGTGCCCCCTACCCCTTTGTTGTGAATCCGCCAATGTATATATATACTAGTTGTGTATCCGCGAAATACAATGAGAACCGTGAATTTTAACGATTTTGAAGTTTCATTGGTTTTATTAGAGAAGATTTAACGACGATATAAGTTACACATAGTCTTTACATATTATTACAATTAGAATAAATAATTCAATTACAGTCCATCGATGAAAAAAAATTGTATAATAGTTTAAAATCCAAAATGTTTAAACGACTACACAAATGTATTCGATTTCCACCAAGAGCAAAAAATAAGATATCGAAACCGAGATCGAGAATTCTAGAGCAATTGAATGAGAAAACTATTAATAACTCATAGTGAATATTAGTTTGAATCTCACCTTGAGGAATGAGAAGAAAACATATAAATATGAAAGGATGAAGGCATGAGTGAAAGGTATTAAAAGTATCTTAAAAACATGAAAAAATGTAAGAATATGCATTGGTAATTTGTACTATATATTATTTTAATTGTAAATTAAGAAACTTTAAGACTGAATGCATAAAATAATAGTACTTAAAACATTATGAGTTGTTTTTTTAAAGTTTTAAGATTTTGTGCACAAATATATAGTACTTTATGCATTAAAAGTTGTTTTTAAAACTTTTGATAAATCTGGGTTATAAGATAACTAGTTGTGTACCCGCGCAATGCGGCGGGAGCCATGAATTTTAACGATTTTGAAGTTCCACTGGTTTTATAAGATAAGATTTAACGATGATATATGTTACACTAGGTCTTTACATATTAATACAATTTGAATAAATAAGAGTTATGATTCCAATTACAAACTATCGACGAAAAAAAATTGTATGACGGTTTAAAATCCAATATATTTAAAATCTAACATATTTAAACAACTCCACAAATGTATTCGATTTACACCAAAAGCAAAAAACCAAGAAACTTGAGTTTTAAGATAAACACTAAAAATCAATATAGAAAACTACAAATTTGACAGATCATAAGCTATGAAAAGACAAAAAAAGATGGGTTTTAAAATGAAATTTCAACTGCTTACCCTCTTTCTTGTCCAGAAACTCAAATTAAGGTTAAATTAATACATGTATATATATATTTCAAAAAAACCCAAGAACATATTAATTCAAAACATATTATACAGTGCAATTTGGACAGCCTAACCCCAAAATATATAGTATATATATATAAATAAATAACTATAAAAGTACAAATCGTAAATATTAAAAATATTTTTTCACAGTATATATAATATATAATAATATAATTAAATAAAAAACTATTCAATATTAAACTCATTTCGAAGGTATTAACGAGACGATTATAATGATGTAACTTGTTAAAATAAAAAAGTATTTTTTAAACATGTTTTAATTGATATACGATTATGTATATTAATTTGATAAAGATTTAAAATGAAACATTTAAAAGTAAAAGACGTAAAGTAAATTAATTAATTAATTATAAGGATATAAAGTGTAAATTTAAAATTATAATTTTAAATGTGAGTGTATGTGAGGGGTGAGTGTATGTGAGGAGATGAGGGGGTGAAAAAGTGATATAAATGGTATCTTGATCATTTAGTATTTTAAGACTTTAAGACTTTAGTATCTATGGTATAAATATAGATATAGGTATATATGCCACCACCTTACCTCACTTTAATCGGTGAGTCTTGAAACTTGATCTTGACATCATACCATCAATTGGAACACAAATTCAAACATAATTTCCTTATATTCAATAAAAATCTAACCCCCAAATGATCATTCAATAACTACTTGTCCTTCCTGCATTCAAATTTGTACATTAACCCAAAACAACATCAATGAAAGCAACAACAAGAAGATCATACTTGAGATGGAGTTCTTCCAAGCTGAATATCTTCACCAATTTTGAAAACTGGCTGTGATTCCCCAAAAAAAGCACCCAAATAAGTCGATAAGCTTAGTTTATCAATGGCTTCTCGATGATGTGATTTGCAGACGAGATAAAGGATCGATTGGGTCACCGTAAAAAGTAGAAATGTGATTAATAACAGAACGACACATAAGATTCCGATCACCTGTTTCCATGGAAACACCAACCCACCGGCGCCGTAGAGGACCAACGACATATACATAGAAACAGTTCCGACAAAAATTGTGTATGAAAGAAAGGAAATCGTTAATGCGACTCTTCTTTTTCCCTTCATCAGATCCATGGATTTGATCAAGGATTTCAGTCCATGAGAGTTTTCCAGAACGGAAACGACGCAAGCGAGTTGCCAAATGATGCTCAAGTACAAAAACCCTAAAACATACGGGATGAAAATGGCGAACAGAACGAGAACGGATGTGACGGAGTTGAAGCATATGACGTACCAGAAAAAGAAGAAGACGGCAGCGATTAAGTTGTAAGCGAACAACACTAGGAACATAGAGAGGAGAGTAAGGATGAGTCGTTTCCATACCTTCACTACGACTTTCATGGCTTTCCGGTAACTGACGTCGCTGTTGGTGTAGATAGATGCGACGGTGTAAGAAACAGCGGCGGTGAAGAGGTGACAGAAGAGGATGATGAAGGTGATGGAGATGATTTTGAAGAGCAAGTAGTAGATCCAATCAATGGAGGTGGCTCTGGCGTTGTAGTAAGATCGGTAAGCCTCCTGAGCGCCTGTGAACAATTCAAATGGATCTCGTTCCAATTGGTCAAAGAATCGTTTGGAGATCTCCATGATAGCGATGAGGATGATTGAGATGGGGAGGAATAGAGTGAGGGTGATTTGGGTGAAGATTTTCTTCCATTTGAGAATGGTTTTGAAGGATTCATGGAGAATGCCCATTGATTGGAGGAACTTCAAGTCTTCTTCCATGGCGTTTTCAGTTGTTGGAGATGAAGGTGATGAATGAATGCGAGGGAGATATATAATACCAAATCCAGAAGGGTGGATTACGGAATGCGTATTGAAAATTGAACCATATTTATCACTAATTTTAATTTATTAAATTAAATCTATTTTTGGCAAATTACCTTTAATTAATTAATTAATTGTCATTTAATACATTAAAAAGTTGAAAAATATTGAATAGTTTATTTTAGGAGAAATTGCATTGGAATCAACTTTCACTTAATTCTTATTTTGGGGAACCAATTTTTAAAATCGTCATTTAAGGGTCTCTATCAAATTTTTTGTTTATTTAAGGGTCTAGTTAACCTGTTGACCTGTTAATTCTGAAATCATCTAGATCTTTTGGCAACTAAGATATTCCACGTGATAATAATTTATTATTTCAAAACTAATATTCCACGTCATATTTTAAAATTGTAAAATAATTATAGAAAATTAACTAAAATTCGTATTTTTCAAAAATTATTTATAAAAAAAATTAAAATCTATTTTTTATTTTAAATCTTGTTTTTAAATAAAAAAAATTAAAATATCAAACTGAAGATTTTTTTCAAAAAAAAATCCATATATTTTGATTTGTTAATCTTTCTTTTAATAATAATCATGATTTGGCAAATTAATATCCACCTAATATATTTTTTAATTATTATTTGTCATCTCATAATAAATTACATGTTACCTGTTCAGCAAGTTAACCAGACCCTTAAATAAACAAAAAATTTGATAGGGACCCTTAAATAACGATTTTGAAAGTTGGTTTCCCAAAATATGAATCAGGTGAAAGTTGGTTCTATTTTGATGTAATTTTCCCTTTATTTTATTAATTTTTTAACTATTTTTTTTAATTGAAAAATGGGAAAAGTTGAAAAAAAGTCCAACAAACTTTTTCATTTTGAATGATTTAGGGGCTCTTTACCTAAATGCTTATCTGGTAAGTGCTTACCGATAAGAGTCAATACTATAATTTATTTTGATGCGTAAGATTTCAGTACATCAAAATGTATCGAATGCAATAATTTACAGGGTAAATGCTTACCTGAGTAAGAGTCACAATCTTCACTTATTGGGTAAGACTCTTTATCATTCTCATCACTCTTATCCAGTAAGATTTTTCCTTTTATCATGTTGATCCGATGAGAAAATTTATCGAGTATGCATTTACCAAGTAAGCATTTTGTAAACAACCCCTAAGTCTCTAAACTGTTGTTTTGAATGAAAAACCATTAAATTTGAATGACTAAGTTTTTGAACTGTTTTTTTAAATAAAAAAAATATTATTGAACTTTCACATTTTGAATAATTAAGATCTTGATTTTAAAAACAAATAAAAATAAACTATCAAATTTTTATTAATTGGTTAATTGTTTTTGGGTTAAAAGAATGTAATTTTAAAAAATGTTAATGGGTTTTTCATTCAAAATAAAAAAGTTTAATAGTTTTTTCATTCGAAAAATTAGTTTATGAACTTAATCATTCAAATTGAAAAAATTTAATGGTTTTTTCATTTAAAAAAATAGTTTAGAGAATAAACCATCTAAAATGGAAAAGTTTGTTAGGCATTTTGAACTTTTCCTTAGAAAATCATTAAATTTTCTCTTTTTGAATGAAAAACTTTAAACTTTTTTCTAATTTGATGAAAAACCATTAAAATTTCTCATTTTGATTGATGAGGTCCATGAGCTTTTTCTAATAAATAAATTGTCACACTTTTAGAAAAATGGTAACCTACATCCTTTTAAACTAAAAAAGCTACATTAACCGACTAGTAAAAGTTCGATGGTTTATTTCTTAAAAAAAACAGAGTCTTAATCACTTAAAATGTGAAAGTTTAATAGTTTTTTTCATTTTTTTTTACTAATTTATCAACTAGTATTTGTCAAACATGATTGGTTTATATATCAGTCTTTTAACAACCAACTCGCTTTTTTTATTATCAAAAACTAATTTATCAGCTAACAACTAAGATCAGTTAATTTATTCTTATAAGGGTCAATAAAAAACCTTATATATATATGGGTCTAATCAAATGAGAACTAATTAGTTTATGGTAACCGTGAAGTCCAATCTCAACCACAAATCAATAGATAAATTATGAAATTTATAATTTTGATAATTTTGAATTAAAATTTTAATGCAGGAACATTTTAGGTATTTTAAAACTCTCCTCTCTTCTCTCTTCGTCCCTCATCCTCCGGTGATACCACAGTGGTATCACAATGCATCTTATATGTGTTTGAGTATCACACTGAGGTTGTTTGTGTGATCAATCGAAGATGTAACACAGTGGTATTACAATGCATCTTATATGTGCTTCGATATCACACTTTGTCTTTTGTTTAACAAAGTCAATATTTTTAGGTATCACAGTGGTATAACAGGAGAACGATGGCCGGAGGACGGAGAACGGAGAACGAGGGACAAAGAGAGAAGATAGGAGAGAGATGAGAGTATTAAAATACCTAAAATGTCATTGCATTAAAATTTTAATTCAAAATTACCAAAATTATAATTTTTTTGATTTATCTATTGAATTGTGGTTGAGATTGGATCTCACGGTTACCACAAACTAATCAGTTCTCACTTGAATGAATATATATATATATATATATATATATATACATATATATTATAAAACATTTGACAAAAACTCTTAAAAACCACTTTTTATATATAAAGTATTGCTTATTAATGCATGTTACTTAAACCTCAAGATTATAAGTAGGTTGTGCGTAAATACAACTTATTAAAGCTCCGTATCTGAATTCGCGTAACTAACTGCAGATAAACATAATCAAATATAAGATAGACATCTCATTTTAAATATAAAAAATCTAAATATAATTAAGATAATCATTGAGTTCTAACAAAATACTTAATTATTATTTTATAAAATGTTATATTATTAAACAAAAAATAAATCATTTCATTATTAAACTTAAATTAAATTATAATTAAAAAATAAATTAAAGAAATTACATAAAAAATGAGAACTTTTAAATAGTTGATTTGATATTAACATTAATATATTATTTTTCAAAAAAATTATGATATCTTCAAATTTATATTTTATTCAAAAATAAAATCATTATTGTTTTCTTAAAAACAAATAAAATCATATTATAACATCGACAAATACAAATAATAAAATAACAAAAAGGTTATGTTGAACCAAACTTGATTTGACGTTTGTTTTATATTTTTAAATTTTTTATACAAACAAGTAAACATTTTCAAAAAGTATGTAGTACAAAATTAATGATTACATTTATTATTTAACATTAATGTTCATGCTATCTTTCTGTTTTTATACGTATTCGTGCTCGTGCATATATATTTAGAATCACACTAAACTTTATCCGATAATTGTTTATCGGATAATTTTTTTATAAGATGTTTTTATTTAAGGGTGTTGTTATAGGAACATCTCTCTACTATCTTATATATTTAGGGGTTGTTTATCAAAAACTTACTCTGTAAGTACTTATCCGTAAAATTAACACTATCATTTACTTATCCGGTAAGATTTTAGTCTATTAAACCGACATCGTATGCAACAATTTATCGGATAAGCACTTACCGTGGTAAGAATCGTTGCTCTCAGTTACCGAGTAAGATTCTTGGTTCCTACCATATTCATCCGATAATGTAATGTGATTTGATAAGCACTTATCCGGATAAGTGTTTGGTAATCGATCTTTATATTTAATGTTTTTTTTTTTAACTTTATCTAATTAATATATTTTGACTCACTTGGGAATTGTTAAATTGAAGAATTGAATTTGACAAAGGGTATTTAAACCCAAAAGTCAAAGTTATGAAAAGGCACACTATTAATTGATGATATTCATTCAAGTAAATACATTTATTAAATTAATATTAAAATTGTTATTTTTATTGATGTTAAATTAAAAAACGCCACTTTTAAGCTTATTGTTTTTTTTTATTACAATAAAAAAACAAGCATTGTCAAGTTTATTCTTTATTATGTGTAATAAATTGTAATTAATTAATTTTTAATTATAACTATAGAAATATTAAATTAATTAATTCTTGAAAAACTAAATAATAAATTTTTAACAACCAACTACCCACTTTTTTTGTTTTTTACTATTAAATGAGTTTATATTTAGTTTTATAAGTAACAGTTTATATGACATTAGCTCTTAAAAATGTAGGAAGAATTGCAACGATACGATGGTTGAAAATGTAAACACTCAAAAAAAAATATAACGAAAGAAGGAGCAAAACGCGGAAAGGAGATAAATTTTTCCGAAAAAACAAACGGGCAAGCTAAATTTTAACTAAAACAAAAATCACCCAACAAAGAGGAGGAGTAAAGCGTTTACAGCTGATAATTAACAACCTATTAATCTAAACCACTCTGAGCTTAGATTAGGAACGAGTGTTTCTACCAACTCCACAAAAATATACAAAGATCAACAATACTGCAACACTCGAAACATCAAGTGCTTTTTCTACAAAAAATTCTACGAACTACATTCTTCTCAAACCTTTGATGCCCTTCCGCTAAATGAACCTGATAAGCAAGGCATTTCAAGATAGAGTGTTACGCTTACGCCTAGTAAGTTCAAACAATAGGATAAATATAACTATAAAACCTTTTATACAAGAAAGTATATAAGTATATGACGATAATGTAGCTCTAAACGGTATAAAAGGAAGGTAAGTCCTAAGTAACACGTGGCAGAGCCAAAAGATTCGGAGATGGCGGGGGAGACCCGATTTACCGTTGATTGTGACGAAACACAAAGTATGTCATAGATCAACGTTATAGAGCATCACTTACAGGTATAACACCATTGACATCAACCTAATCCAGTCATGTAGTCGGTCGTGATCATAAGCTCTTTACCTCGGAAATTACATAATCATCGCAATGCCTATTTCTGAGTGGAAGTGAGAAAATGATTTGGGAATTATATAATAATCCCAATGCCTAAGTCCAACTTACACCATCCTTCACACCAAATTCAATAAAATGACTTACATGCTTATAAACCCATTACATTTTGTGATTTACTTAATTTCGGTACTTTAAGCATGTTAGTACCTATTCACCAATGAGATTTTGCGTATGTTTTTAGTCAAACAAAATACCCCCATTTTGTCAATAATTAACTCCAAACGGAGAACATGAGGGTCTTAGAGTTTCAAGGTCAACAATACTTGAAAGTATGCAATCCACCTAGCGAATAAACCATTTTTCTAACTATTTCTATCACTATAATGGAACTCTCAAGTTCAATAAACTTCCGGCCTAAAGTCTATAATTTTAAACAACTAGAGTATATAGTAAGAACACACACACCACCACACTTAATTATAAGGTTAACACAGAAGGGAATGGGATGAACTCACCTTGTAGGGTTCAAAGGAAATCTCAAGAATCTGGACAGTTGCTTGCGGCTGCTATAAACTACTTGGTGTTTGGCGAAGCACAACAGCAGTTGTTGTCCTGGCAAAGGAGACAAAGAAAAACAGCGCCTTATGGCCTGCTGTTTGCTGCTGCTGTTTGCTGTTGTGAAGGCACGGCAACAGCTGCTGTTTTGGCGAGGAAGACGAAGAAAAACAGCGCCTTACGGCCTGCTGTTTGCTGCTGCTGTTTGCTGTTGCGAAGGCACGACAGCAACAGCTGTTTTGGCGAGGAAGACGGTGAAAAACAACGCCTTACGGCCTGCTGTTTGCTGTTGCGAAGGCATGGCAGCAGCTGCTGTTTTGGCGAGGAAGACGGAGAAAAACAACCTTACGGACTGCTGTTTGCTGATGCGAAGGCACGGAGACAGACGCGAGCAGGTACAGGGAATAGCTCTGCCGTGCAGGCGCGACGCGAGGAGCACATCAGCGTCTGCTGCTGCTGCGGGTGGTCTGAGGTGCGCAGGCAGCGCCTGCTGTTGCTGTTGGTGATCGTGGCACGCAGGCAGCGCCTGCTGTTGCTGTCTTGATGTTACTGCTGCTGTCCGGCGAGAAGGGAGAAGAAAACAACACACAACGGCTGCTGTCTTGCTGTTGTTACTGCTGTCCGGCAAAAAAATGAAGAAAACAGCACCCAGCGGCTGCTGTCCAACGAGACACAACGATGAAAGCTGCGGGAAATGTCTCGGCAGCGCCTGTTGCTGCCTGGCATGGCACGATAGCGTCTGCTGCTGCCTGAAACAATACAATACGCAGAATGGCTAGGGGTGTAGAAAGAATGGGGCTGAAGGCACGGTGCTGGCGTGGCCGGCGCTAAGGCAGGCTCAACTGGCGGTGGTTGCAGCACTCAAAAGAAGATCGATGCACGACAGGGGCTTCTTCAGTTGGGGAGGCGGGTTTGCCTTTTTCCAAGTGAAGGAGACGATTCCCTTAGATGCTTCTCCCACTCACATCCTTCCCCTCCCTCTAAAGTCCTATTCCCAAAATCAAGGTAGAGGTTAAGGACCTCCATGGAATGGAAGGGACTACTAGGGAAAAGATGATTACAAAAGAAAAGGAGGGTAGGACAACCAAAAAGGTAGAAGGTACCCCCCCCTTTTACTCTACTGCTTCCAAAGAAGGCTTTTCCCCTAAAGTTTATTTATAAGAGTATGCATATATATACATATATATATATATATTTAACAAAGAAAGGCTTAAAAGAATTAAGATGGCTAAAGCTCCAAATAGATAGGTGAAAACGCATACCCCCCTAACAAGGCGAAAACCCTTGTTGCGCACGGAGCAGGGAAAAGGGAAAAAAATTCGGGTATTACAATCCTTCCCACCTTGGATTCAATTTCGTCCTCGAAATTTTAGCTTACTTGAAAAGGTGAGGGTAACGCCTCTTCAAATCTTCCTCCGCTTCCCATGTTATGTTTGACCCTCGGTGATGTTTCCATTGCACTTTAACCAAGATAATTTCTTTGTGCCTCAACACTTTGGTCTTCCTTTCTAAAATGGCTTCCGGTTCTTCAACACACCGATTGTTTCATCCACACGAATCTCTGAAAGTGGGATCACACTTTCTTCTTCCGCTAAGCATTTACGAAGGTAACACACATGGAATGTGTTATGGATTCCCGCCATTTCCGGTGGTAGTTCTAGCTTATAAGGTTGATGCCCCACTCTTGCCAAGACTTTAAACGGCCCAAGAAAACGAGGGTTGAGTTTTTCACGCTTTCCAAAGCGGATAACGCCCTTTAATGGGGATACTTTTAGCATAACGCGATCGCCCACTTGGAATTTTATAGGTCGGCTCCTCTTATCTGCGTAACTCTTTTGTCGATCCTGAGCCGCCTATAAGCACTCTCGAATACACTTCACTTTGTCGGTCGTCTCTTGCACGATCTCGGGACCGACGAATTGTTTCTCACCCGCTTCTAACCAGCATATCGGAGTCCTACACTTTCGTCCATATAAGGCCTCAAAAGGTGACATCCCGATACTGGAATGATAACTATTGTTGTAGGCGAATTCAACTAGGGGTAGGTGAGAATCCCAATTCCCGCCAAAGTCGATAACACACGATCTAAGCATGTCCTCGAGGGTTTGAATGGTCCGTTCACTCTGTCCATCTGTTTGGCGGTGGTATGTCGTACTCAACTTTACTCTCGTGCCTAATTCTTTCTGCAAGCCACCCCAGAAATGGGAGGTAAACCGGCTATCTCGATCTGACACTATAGATAACGGTATGCCATGCCTTGAAACTACCTCATCGACGTATAACTTGGCAAGCTTGTCCATTGGCAACGATTCACGCATTGCCAAGAAATGAGCGCCCTTTGTCAGTCGATCAATCACTACCCATATTGTATCATGACCTCTTAAAGTCTTCGACAGTTTGGTCACGAAATCCATCGTAATATGTTCCCATTTCCACTCGGGGATCTCCAAAGATTGAAGGCTACCATAAAGTCGTTGGTGCTCTGCTTTCACTTGCAAACAAGTCACGCACCTCTCTACATAACGAGCCACATCTAGTTTCATAACCGGCCACCAATATGTCAGTTTCAAGTCCCGATACATCTTGGTGCTGTCCGGATGAATAGAGTATTTAGACTTGTGTGCGTCTTCTAGCAATAGTTCATGATTGCCTCCAATCTTGGGTACCCATATACGCCCTCGAAATAACTTCAAGCCACGGCGATCCCCTGTCAGCAGTAAACGTTGTTTCACCATTACTTCACTCTTGAGGTTTTCTTCTAGGAGTGCTTCAGATTGTGCCACCTTGATCCGATCGATCAGACTGGACCCTAAATCGATCCTGGTAAGTACAACTTTTGTCCCACTACTGTACTCCTTTCGGCTCAAAGCATCCGCCACTACATTTGCCTTACCCGGATGGTATAACAGTTCACAATCGTAGTCTTTGAGCAGCTCAAGCCAACAACGTTGCCTCATGTTTATTTCTTTTTGATCGAAAATGTACTTCAAACTCTTATGATCAGTGAAAAGTGTGCACTTGGTACCATAAAGGTAATGTCGCCAAAGCTTTAAGGCAAACACCACCGCTGCTAACTCCAAATCGTGGGTGGAATAGTTCTTCTCATGATCTTTGAGTTGTCTTGATGCGTAGGCAATCACCTTTCCCCTTTGCATCAGAACGCAACCCAACCCCATTTTTGAAGCGTCGCTAAAGACTACAAAGTCTTCGGACCCTTCCGGTAAGGAGAGAATCGGGGCTTCACATAATTTCTTTTGGAGAGTTCTGAAGGCATGCTCCTGTTTCTCAGTCCAGATAAATTTCACATTCTTCCTAGTCAAAGCCGTTAAGGAAGAAACGACGTTGGAGAAATCTTTGATCAATCTCCTGTAATAACCCGCTAGACCCAAGAAACTTTGGATTTCAGATGGGCCCTTTGGCGGTTCCCAATTCATCATCGCCTCAATCTTGGATGGGTCTACCTTCACCCCGTCTCGAGTGACAACGTGACCCAAGAATTGAACCTCTTTTAACCAAAAGTCGCACTTGGAGAATTTTGCATACAATTTCTCTTTTCTTAATACTTCGAGAACTCGAAGATGTTGTTCATGATCTGACTCGTCCTTAGAATAGACGAGTATGTCGTCAATGAACACTATCACTAACTTATCAAGGAATGGTCGGCACACTCGGTTCATCAAGTCCATGAATACCGCCGGTGCATTCGTCAAACCGAACGACATGACCAAGAATTCATAGTACTCGTATCGAGTTCTAAAAGTTGTCTTCGTCACATCATCCTCTTTTACTCGCACTTGATGATACCCTAAACGAAGGTCGATCTTTGAGAAGCAACATGCTCTTTGAAGTTGATCGAAAAGGTCGTCGATTCTAGGAAGAGGATATTTGTTCTTCACGATTGCCTTATTAAGTTCTCGGTAGTCAATACACATTCTCATGGTACCGTCCTTCTTCTTTACAGATAAGACTGGAGCTCCCCACGGTAACGAACTCGGTCTAATGAACCCTTTCTCGAGGAGGTCTTGCAATTGAGACATCAATTCTTGCATATCGGAAGGAGCCAAACGGTAAGGGGCTCTAGCAAGGGGAACGGTTCCCGGAATGAGGTCGATTCAGAACTCCATTTTCCTAACGGGTGGCAAACCGGGTAAGTCTTCAGGAAAAACGTCGGGAAATTCGTTGACCACCTTCACATCCTCTATTCCTCCTTTTTCTATCTTGGCATCTAACACGTACGCGATGAATGAGGGACATCCCTTAGCTAAGCATTTATGCGTCTTTGCCATGAATAGGAGTACTACGTCTCCCTTCTTTATATCTCCATGAACTAGCACTGCGTCCCTGTCCGGTAAAGGTATTCGAATCAATTTATTAGAACATAAGATTTCCGCTTGGTTCCTTGCTAACCAGTCCATTCCAGTTATGATGTCAAATCTGCCGATGGCCATAGGTATAAGGTCTACCCGAAATTCTTTTCCCTCGATTCCCAATACACAATCCCTAATAACTTCACGCACCAGAACTTTACTACCATTTGCTAACTCAATGATCAAGGCATCTTCTAGTGTACTAGGGGGCGTATGCAAGAGTTGGTAGAATGAAGTGGACACAAAGGAACATGAAGCACCTGAATCATAAAGCACGTGTGCAGGTACGAAGTTAACAAGGAACGTACCTGACACCACATCCGTCGATGCCTTAGTTTCCTCAGCAGTCATCTGAAAGGCTTGGCCGACCATTTTCGGGGTATTTTCTTTTCTTCCCTGGCCCCCTTCTGCCTTCATCTTCGGACAGTCATTCCTGAAGTGACCCGGCTCCCCGCATCCAAAATAGATGGGCCCTTTAATAGGACACTCATTTCGTGTGTGGCCTGGTTTCCCACGTTTAAAACATTTTGCAGGGGTAGAGTTGGTGATGCACGGGCCGTGGTGTTTGGTGCGGCATTTGAGGCACCACCTAGCCTCCTGCCTAGGATAAACTCCACGATTGGTGTTGTTGATGTGGTTTGGTTTCTTAGAACATGCATAATGACCTTCCCACTTCCTTTTCTCACCACTTGCCACTTTCTCTTCTTTCCCCTTACTAAAAACTGTTTCCATGACTTTTGCCTCCTCGATTGCCTCCCTAAGGGTGGAAGCCCTAGAATTCCTAACCATAACCATCATGTCTGCGGGCAACCCTTTTAGGTAAGCTTTCATCTTTTCTTTCTCCGTTGGAGCCACATGTCCCACTAAATTCAGTTTTTCCATGAAAAGTCGCGTGTAGGCTCTCACTGACAAGTTTTCCTTCTTAAGGGTTCGAAACTCTTCTTCTATGCGATCCATCTCTTGTTCATTGCAATATTCCTCCAATACTTTTTCTTTAAAAGTGGTCCAACTCATCTTGGCTAGCTCTTGGGCCTCTATGGTTGATATGACAATATTCCACCAGGTAAGGGCCGCGCCCCTTAGCATTTGATAGCCAAATTTCGCCTTTTGCCCCTCATCACATTCACAAGCTCGGAAGGCTTGCTCGATCTCTTGAAGCCAGTTCATGCATGCCACATGGTCATCTGACCCCACAAACTCTGGTGGCTTGCAACTTAGAAACGTCTTGTAGAAGCAAACTCTTCCCACTTGTCTTGCGTCAATTGTTGCTAGTTCTTGGGTTGGGATTCCATTTTCGGTACCCTCGGACCCCACATTAGTTACGTTCTCAGCAACCACTTCATGCTTACGGTTGTTGGCATCTCTATCCTCCAACATTTTAAAAAAAAATTCTTACTGTTGGGCCATAGCTTTGTTCATAGCGTTCATCATAGTGCCCATCATTCTTGACTCCGGGGTTTCCTCTTCCATCACAAGGTTAGAGGTGGCAAGGTTAACTTGGGGAATGTGGTCAACCCCACCGCCCAAGATGTTTTGCCTGGGATGTACTCTTGCGATCATGGTCCGTGGCGGCTGATCCGCGGTAGACTCAGTCACTGCGTAACCCTCCAGTGAGGTATCCTGTCTACTCCGAGTGTTCATCATAAAGTATGCTATGCAAGAGAGTGGCAGAGAGTTAGGATAGGGAAATGAAATATGGGATCAACATAATACGGTACTACCACAATCTTTAATTTTGTAACAACAGTAAGCCCAAACATGCTTATGTAACAACTTACTCAAAATAACATTAGCTAAGTGGAATTTTTAACAAGTTATACATAAGGATCCTCAACACCATCGCCACAATTTATGAATCATGCATTTTCGTTGATTCTAAGGCTCTCCTATCTTAAATGTCCTACCCATAACACACAAATTAACACTTATAATTTCAGTTTAAGTCTAGGCGTCTTAGTTCCGTACCTAGTTCGCTTAAACTAGAGCTCTGATACCAACTTGTAACACTAAAAAAAAAATATAACGAAAGAAGGAGCAAAACGCGGAAAGGAGATAAATTTTTCCGACAAAACAAACGGGCAAGCTAAATTTTAACTAAAACAAAAATACCCAACAAAGGGGAGGAGTAAAGCGTTTACAAAACAATAAATGAGCTGATAATTAACAACCTATTAATCTAAACCACTCTGAGCCTAGATTAGGAACAGGTGTTTCTACCAACTCCACAAAAATATACAAAGATCAACCATACTGCAACGCCCGAAGCATCAAGTGCTTTTTCTACAAAAAATTCTACGAGCTACATTCTTCTCAAACCTTTGATGCGCCTCCGCTAAAGGAACCTGATAAGCAAGGCATTTCAAGATAGAGTGTTAGGCTTACGCCTAGTGAGTTCAAACAATAGGATAAATATAACTATAAAACCTTTTTATACAAGAAAGTATATAAGTATATGACGATAATGTAGCTCTAAACGGTATAAGAAGAAGGTAAGTCCTAAGTAACTCGTGGCAGAGCCAAAACATTCGGAGATGGCGAGGGAGACCCGATTTACCATTGATTGTGATGAAACACAAAGTATGTCATAGATCAACATTATAGAGCATCACTTACAGGTATAATACCATTGACATCAACCTAATCCAGTCATGTAGTCGGTCGTGATCATAAGCTCTTTACCTCGGAAATTACATAATCATCGCAATGCCTATTTCCGAGTGAAAGTGAGAAGATGATTTGGAAATTACATAATAATCCCAATGCCTAAGTCCAACTTACACCATCCTTCACACCAAATTCAATAAAATACTTACATGCTTATAAACCCATTACATTTTGTGATTTACTTAATTTCGGTACTTTAAGCATGGTAGTACCTATTCACCAATGAGATTTTGCGTATGTTTTTAGTCAAACAAAATACCCACATTTTGTCAATAATTAACTCCAATCGGAGAACATGAGGGTCTTAGAGTTTCAAGGTCAACAATACTTGAAAACATGCAATCCACCTAGCGAATAAACCATTTTTCTAACTATTTCTATCACTATAATGGAACTCTCAAGTTCAATAAACTTCCGG